GGATGCAAATGAGTATCGTTATGTCTCTCTCTTGGCTATTCAGGAATCTATGTGCATGAAAACATGATTAATGCCCAATCTTATACTACATTTTTGTCTATAAAGTTTAGTATGTATGTAAAAAAAAATCAGGTATCTTTAAGTGGTGGCTATGATGGCCACTTGCAACATTGGGTTCTAGAGTGTGCTCATTAAGCAATAAGTACTGTAATAGGAGTCTGCACCTGTCACACACTGAGAGGTTTATTCTAAACCTTATTCACAAACAGAGCCTACTAAGCACTGGCAGCTATATAAGCTTGTAACTCAGTCATAAAATCCTATCCAGAATCAGAATACATCTAAGCCCACTGAACGTGTTAAATATTTCAGAGAGCTGAACAGAGAGAGAAAAGAGATGTCACCTACTGTGGAGCCTGCATTGTAAAGATGAGTTAACGGGTTGCCTATAGAGGAAACAGAAGCAAAATAATGACAAATTTTACATTCTGAGCTAAAATTCTATTTTAGGCTTGATTTACTCTCTAACGCTTGTTTTCACAGTTAAAACTTAAAATTGAGATGGAGCGTTTGAAATATGCAGAATTGATATTTTTAATAATTTTAATAGTGTTCTTAATCATTCTAATTGAGTTTCCCTGTAGTGAAAGTTATACAAGTTACCAGTCTGATCCTTTGTTTTTCTTAATAACATACTTCACAAAAAGTCCCATTAACAGAGAAAAAGCTTTAAAAAACCCAATTACTTTATATACATCAAAATATTCTAGAAAAATAGACATAAGACCTTGGTATTTATTTATGTTTTTATTCTATAAGAGAAAATGATATTAATGAAGCAAAATAGTAGCTGTTCTTAATTTGATTTGATTATATGTACATGTTGGTATAGCAATATTGATATTTCTTTTAAGTCAAAGGGCATGATACTTTAAATCTTTGGTGTCATCACTTACAGAATGAGTGCCATTGCAGGTGTAGAGCTTAATGGAAATGCAAAATTAAGTGAGAGGAAAGGTAAATGGAGAGAACCAAAGAAGTCTCATAGTAGACCAAGATATGGTTGTTTTCCATGGGACTTATAAGCTGTTGCCTACTCTTTATATATATATATATATATATATATTTATTGAAGTATAGTCAGTTTACAATGTTGTGTCGATTTCTGGTGATTTTTTTTTTGATGTGGAAAAATCTATGACATAATATGTACCGTTTTACCCATTTTTAAGTGTACAGTTTAAGTTGCATGAAATATATTTACACTGATGTTTGATCATCACCACTATTTCCAGAACTTTTTCATCATCCCAAACAGAAACACCATACCTGTTAAGCAGTAACTCCCCATTCCCCTCTGCCCCACTAGCGCCTGCTAATCTCTATTCTACTGTCTCTAAGAATTTGTCAATTCTGGATACCACATAAGTGGGTTCATACTATATTTGTCCTTTTGTGTCTGTCTTATTTCACTAAGCAAAATAGTCTCAAGTTTCATCCATGTTTTAGCATGTATCAAAACTTCCTTTTTCAGCCAGATAATATTCTGTTGTATGTATGTACCACATTTTATCGATGCATCTGTTGATGGACAAGTAGGTTGTTCTGCCTTCTGGCTACTGAATAATGATGCTATGAACATTTGCATACGAGTGTCTGAGACACTGTTTCAGTTCTTTTTGGTACATACCTAGGAGTGGAATTGTGGGGTCATACAGTAATTCCATGTTTAATTTCTAAGATGTCATCAAACTGTTTTCCACAGTGTCTCTGTCATTTTACATTCCAACCAGCAATGCATGAGGCTTCGTATTTTTCCACATCCTCACCAACACTTGTTATTTCCTATTTTTTGGATGCTACACATTCTAGTGGGTATGAAATGGTATCTCATTATGGGTGCTTTAAAAAATTCCATTGTAAACAGAATTGTTTTCTTAACTTCCTTTCAGGCTGTTCATTGCTAGTGCATAAAAATAGAACTGATTTGTGTGTGTTCATTATGTATCCTGAAACTTTGTTGAATTCGTTTATTAGCTCTAACAGTTTTTTGGTGGATTCTTTCATGTTTTTGACAAACAGAGACATTATTTTTTTCTTCTTTTCCATTTTGGATGCCTTTTACTTCTTTTTCTTGCCTAATTGCTCCGATTAGAACTTTCAGGACTATGATGGATAGAAGTGGTGAAAACAGGCATCCTCGCCTTGTTCCTGTTCTTAGCAGATATGCTTTCAGTCTTTACCATTGAGTATGATGTTAACTGTGACTTTTTCATATATGACTTTTAATTGAGAAAGCTTCCTTTTATTCCTGATTTAAAGGGTATTTTTTTCTCACAAACGTGTTGGATTTAGTCAAATGCTTTTTATGCATTAGTTGAAATGATCATGTGGTTCCCCCCCCCTTTATTCTATTAATGTGGTGTATTACATTGAATGGTTCTTATATATTGAATCACCCCTGCATTCCAAGGATAAATCCCACTTAATTATGGCATATAATCCTTTTAATATGTTGCTGAATTCAGTTTACTAGTGCATATGTGTGGTTTTCTTAGTTTTTTTTTTTTTTTCCCAGAAATTTTCAGTCTGTGTTCATTAAGGGATATTGGCCTGTAGTTTTAAGTCAAAGGGTAATGAGTAAGGTAATGAGTGATGGCTTCATAGTGTAAGTTAGGAAGCGTTTTCTCCTCTTATTTTTCTTGTTGGGGGAATTTGAAAAGGATTGATGTTAATTCTTCTTTAAATATTGTGTGTAATTCACCAGTGAATTCATCAGGCCCTGGGCTCTTCTTTGGAGTTTTTTGATAACTGGTTCAATCTACTTGCTTGTCGGTCTCCAATTTTCAAAAACATTTTTTGAATCAGTTTTGGTAGTTTGTGTGTGTCAACTGAAATAAATGCACAACCTAAAAGTTGAGAGTTAATGTTTTATTTGGTGGGAGGACTCGAGCCGGGATGACAGCCTCTTATATCGCTCTGAGGGACTGCTCCGAAGAGGTAGGGGAGGAGCTAGGATATATAGGAGTTTTACAACAAAGATCAGGTTGTTGGAACAATAAAAGATTACTTGTTAGCTAAAATATACCAGGCATCTCAAGTTAAAGAATTTACTGCTTTTCTATGTACGGGAGGGATCAAGCATTCGGGCTCATTGAATTCATTCCTTTGACAGGCACCTAGCTATCTAGGGCCAGTGCCCTGTCCTTTCTTATTCTAAGTCCCCTCAGGGTGCACCACTGTGAGTGGCTGCAGAGGTTGGGCTGCAGGCTTGTCTTCACTGGGGGGCAGCGGCAGCCGCTGATGACTTGATGGCTTCAGCATTCTCTGTTTACTGATATGGTTTGCAGTATTTTTCATTCACATGTGTTTCTAGGAATTTGTCCATTTCTTCTAGATTAGGATTTGTTAGTATACAGTTATTTGTAGTATCCTTTTGTACTCCTTTTTATTTCTATAAAATCAGTAGTAATGTCCCAGCTTTTATTTCTGATTTTAGTTATTAGAATTTTCTCTCTTTTTTTCTTAGTTGATCTAGCTAAGGATTTGTCAATTTTGAAATCAGCTTTTAGTTTTATTGATTTTTCTCTATTGGTTTTCAGTTCTCTATTTTTTAATCTCTGCCTTAATCTTTATTATTTCCTTCCTGCTGCTAGCTTTGCTTTAGTTTGCTCTTCTCATTCTTTAAGGTATACAGTTAGGTTATTGATTTGAGATCTTTCTTCTTTTTTAGCGAGTTTGTTGCTGTAATTTTCCTTCTTAGCACTACTTTTGCTGAATTCCATAAGTGTTGGCATTTTGTGTTTTCATTTTCTTTCATCTCAAGGTATTTTCTAATTTCCCTTGTGATTTCTTCTATGACCCACTGGTTGTTTAAGAGTATGTTGTGTATTTCTTTATACTTGTGTGGATTTTCCACTTTTCCTTCTGTTATTTCTTTTTAGTTATATTCCATAATGATCACAAAAGATACTTTGTATGATTTCAGTCTTAAAATTTATTAGGCCTTGTTTTGTGGCCTTACATGTGCTTCATCTTTGAGAATGTTCCATGTGCACTTGCGAAGAATGTATATTCTGCTGTTGTTGGGTGGAGTGTTTTGTATATATCTGTTCGGTCTAATTAGTTTATAGTATTATTCTCCATTTCCTTGTTATTCTTCTGTCTACTTGTTCTGTCCATTATTGAAAGTTGGTTATTGAATATTCCAACTATTATTGTAGAACTGTCTATTTCCTCCTTCGATTCTGTCAGTTTTTACTTCATATATTTTGGAACTCTGTTCTTAGATGGGCATGTGTTTGTAATAATTATATCTTCTTGATAAATTGAAACTTTTTATATGTAATATCCTTGTCTCTTGTTACCCTCTTGTGATTTAAAGTCTATTTAATTTGACAATAATAAAGACTTCATCACTTTTGCTTGGTTCTCCATTAAAGTAGGAATGTAGTACTGTATTTGAATACAGATATTATAAACGGAGATTCTTTTTAAGGCTTGGTGTGGTTTATAAGATTGAAGATGATTCCAAATTTTGCCAATTATAAAGGGTAGAGTTGATATTATTATTATTATTATTATTATTATTATTATTATTATTATTATTATACCTGAGTTAATTCTACCTAGTATTTTCTATTTTTTATATAAATTGACTAATTATCATGATAGGAAATAAAACTAAAAAATTATACTATGTGTTTAAAGCCCAGAAAGTTAGTCAGTTTTGGAATGTTATTTGTTGTCATATTTTTTTTTAATTTAACATTTATGTACTGGAGTCCATAGAAACTAAATATATTTATATATTTATTCACATAAATTGTAGTTTGTTTTTTGCTAAGTTTTGGAGGAGAAAGAGAGGATAAACTGGTGCTATAACAACCACAGTCAGAAATTTATCCGCTATCCTAGTTAATCACTTTTTGAGTTGCTAATGCATGTTTAATAATCCTAATAATGAAATGCTAAATTTTTATGCTTTTATTTCTTTTTAGAACCTTATAAAACATCTTCCAGAGCAGAAGGTACTCAGTGAATTAGCACAGCTGAAGAATGAATATGATGACCTTTGGGAGCCTGAACAATTTGGGGTTGTGGTATGTATCTAGCCTAAGGGCCCACAAACTCAGCTTGGAGGTAACACTTAAGAGAAACAATGGGAAAAAAAAAAAAGAGACATTTCAATTGATGATTTTTTTTTCCTACTGTAGAATTACATAATTTAATATAATATTGGCTGTGTCAGAAAAAAATCCTTGTTTATTATTATTTATAATGAATAATAAAAAAAAATTAAGATTTACCTTGCAAAATACCTCAAGACACCTTGTGGGCCTTGCTTTGTATCAGTGCTCATATTAATATTAATATATGAAAAATAATACATGTTATTCTATTGACTATTTTTCTTCTACTTGGATCTTGATGTTAGAATTTGGCCCTGAAAAAGTTTTAGGCTAAGAATAAGGATGGCTACTAGATAATTAGCAGTGTTTTAGAGATTCTTTTCTGTGTTTATATATTATATCAGAAAAAGCACAAGAATTTGCAGATTTCCCATAGAGTGCCATTAATTGATTGAAAGCTTTAAATACACTGTTTGAGCTAGAAAGAAAATTACGTAAATACACATCTGGCTTTAGCATGGTTAAATAATTGTTAGAATGAGTTATGTTTCCTTATCTCCTCTTTATTTTAAGGGGTACAAAAGATGACTAGGTATAAATTATGTGTTAAAGAATATTGTTTTATATATATGTGTATGTGTGTGTGTATATATATATATATATATATATATATATATATATATATATATATATATTAAGCATTCCCTAAACCTGCTATTCAAATAATTGGCCCCCCAAGAAAAATGGTGGGACAGAAGGCATGATGATATATTGAATTTCTTGGAGAAAAAGCTATTTTTGACCTAGGTTTTCAATACAAGTTTGTTCAACATGTGGATAAACAGTTCTATTACTGGCTCCCTGACCATTTTCTGTCTGCGTACTAAGACTTTTTAAAAGTTACCATCGGACCTAATAGTCAAACACTGTCTGCTTCATCCAAAATGTTTTATAACCTTTCTAATGGTAATGTATTTGAATTGATCTGATTTGGTACTTTGCAATTTAAAAATCCTGTTTAAAGTCATAATGTGATAGAGGGAACAGAGAATGTTCCTTTTAAACATGTGCAATAACTCCTTGCCCATACTTATAGTTTATTAATTCTCAGATACAGCACTGCATATACTGATGTAGGAGCATTCTGTCAAGTCCTTGAAAAGCAAATCAGGAATGTATATTTGGGGTAAGATAGAGCACATAAAGTTACCTGAGGAAGAGAGTTCTCTCAGTTTTGAATTAGGCAAATTAATCAACTAAACTGCCTAGATATTATTTATTAAGTAGCAGCATTTTAACACAATAATCAATAATAAAATTTTCTAGACCAGAGTCCACACTTGAAACTTAAGCTGCTCAAATTCATCTTATAATTGAAGCAAGGCTGTATACCACCTGAGAACTCAGCTGTGTCATGATGGTTATGAGTTTTACAGTAGGTACACTACACAATTTCTCTGAAGCCATTTGTTTTTCTGAATGCAGTTTATCTTGGAAAATGTATTAGTTTGCCAAGCAAGTCCTTCAGGAGGAATATCCTCGGTACCACACTGAGGAAATGAAGTTTGGGGACATAAAAAGCAATATACCTTCTGAACTCAAAGCAAAATAGAAAATGGAAGAGATTTCTTGTTTATGCACATAACCATAAATAATTCTGAGGCTGTGTACATGAAGTCACCTGGTCCTCTTATTTACTCTCCCCATCCTTAGCTCTGTGACTCTAGGGAAAAAGTCAAGGACATTGCAAAGTAGTTTGTACTATGTAAATTTACCTAAAGCAGTATCAATCAGGATTTGCCACATAAAGTTTGGATAATCTCATATCTAGCAAAAAGATTCTTGACATAATGATATGATTTAGTCTTTTAAGCATGTATGTCTTGTATATAATAGACAGTAGGTGTTTATTGAATTGAATTATAGACAATTATTAAGCCCAAGTATGAATCTGTGGTTAATAATAGCATAATTAGGTCTCTGAAAGTAAAAATTATGTTAAAATATATTTCTCTAGATCTATGCTGAAATTAAATTCACTTCTGTGTAGAAACACCTAAATATTTTTTAACCTTCAAAATGTATTGACAGCCTACACTTAGAACAACTTTGGAAATGTATAGAATCATCTCCTCTAATAAGAGAGGCTCCAAACTAGTTGTCTTGCTTCTGCTTTCTTCCTCCATCAGACCTATGAGTGTAGTCTTCTTAAAATCTGTATTCATCATATGATTTCTATGTTAAAACCTTCAGTGTCTCCCAGAGTTTGCAGAAAACAAAACAAAAAACAAACAAAAAACCTGAGCATTCCTTAGCATTCTCATTCTGCACCTAACTCTCCAGCTTTATAGCTCCATGTTCTCTTTGGTGAACTGAGTGAATTGGTGTCTTTATGATATTTTAGCTTTTACCTCAGCGGGACTCTCATTGCCATTTCAGCAGTAATTTTACTTGTTCCTACTCAGTGGTCTTTTGTTTTTCCATAGCGGCTATACCATATCTTACCTACTCTCCTGACATCTTTTATCCCTCCCCTCCCCCTCCCCATTCTTTTCACTTGCTACAGACAACCTAATCGCTTACTCAACAGAGAAAAACAAAAGCACGTAGGCTTTTGTAGGCTTCAGAACCTCCAATATCTTTCTACCTACAAAGTTATCTCTACCCGTATCTTTTATTAACTTACTCTCTGTCAGACCTCTGAAAAAGGGATGCCTTATTTATTATGACTAATAATATTGTGGTCATTATTAGTGATAGAAACAAAAACGTATTGTGGTGTCACCGTGTCCCGATGCTATGCTAAGAGTTTTTACAGGCACCATCTCATGTGTTCCTCATGATAAGCTTCATGTTATAGATGAAGAAACTGAGGCTAAGGAAGGCTAGGGACCTTGTCCAAGCTTACATAATAAGTAGTAGGTGCAGAATTCAAACGCAGGCAGTCTAATTTCTTGGATAGTGATTTTTAACCACTGTATTGAACTGGTGTGTGCGTGTGGGTACGTGTGTGTGTGTGAGAGAGAGAGACACTCTACTACATGCTAATTGACTTACCTCTGTTTAGGGCATCATGATCTGCTGGTATCCACTGCCTACATTAGTTCTGTTATTCTATTGCCTCTTCAGTTTGTTAGTCTCCACCATGCCCGTCTCTTCAGAAAAAAAATCTTAAGTCATTCACTACCTAAAAATGCATGAATGGATAGCTGGATAAATGGATGAATAAAAATCCTTCACTGGCCCTGAAGTCCACAAGAGTTACTGCCCTCTCTCCATTACCTAGCACCAGTTTTTTTTTTTTTCAAAGATTAGTCTTCTTTTGCTCTCTACTTCCTTACATCTAGTTACTATTCAACAATGATCAGAATTCTGCCTTAAATAATTCATTGAAACTGATCTAGGAGAGATCATTAATTACCTCCTAATTGCATCTAAAATATACATCAGATCTACTCACTTCTCTTTTTCTGTGCCATCACCACTTTAGCCCAAGCCAGCATCATCTTTCCTTTTAACTATTACAATATACTTTTGGCCTGTTTTCTCCACTTACACTTTTGCCCTTTTCCAAATCAGTCTCGGCACAGCCTTCGATGTGACATTTCTAGAGTACATTTGTGTTTCATCATTATTTATCTGCTTAAAGCATCAGTGTGTTGTTTTTTGAATTTACTGTGCTCTTTCCTGCCTCTGAACCATTATACCAGCTGCTCCCTCTTACAACCTCTTGATGTCTGCCTCCCTCCTGCTTATTCTTTGAGTCTCAGCTTAAATTTCATTCTCCCCGTGATGCCTTCACTCACCTATCAGTCAAAATTGTCTCTTAATTAAACTCTCTCAGAGCACCTTTTTTCTTTCCCTTTCTGAAAATGACCATTTTTAATTGCAACATTATTTATTGAATAACCCGTGCTATATAACCCTTGCTAGATTGCAACTTCTTTCAATGTATATATCATGTTGATTTCATTCACATGCTATGTACTTAACAAATGTTTGTTGAAAGTATTAGCTTGAATGCAAAATCAAGTGGGCTCTGTTCAGTCCTAATTGTGTTTCCATATGACATTTGGTAACATTGCAGAATTTAGTTTCCTTATTGAAATCTTTTCTTTCCTTGCCTTCTGTAACCATAAACACTCTGCTAATTTTATTCCCTTCACCCTTGCCAATGTCCTGTAGAGTTTCCATTATTATATAACTTCCTAAATGATAAAAACAAAAATCTCATCCATTAGAGATAGACATATGCCAGAAGTGAGATTACCCCTGCACGATTCATTAAAACCATCATCAAACAAAAAACAATAAAATTGGCCAAACTGGGGAAATATCTGACCTTTGACCTTTTGAAAGAAGTAAACTTTGCCTGAGACAGTGACTGGGCTGCTGAGCTTTCTCTAAACTTTTTGATTTTTTTTTTTTTTTAAGCAGCCACATCATTGGGTTTGCTTGTATTCACATGTAATAGAAAAGAAACCAAAAAAAAAAAAAAAAAAAAAAGAGAGAGAGAGAGAGAGCGCCAGAGCAAGTGAGAAAAGAAAAAAGAAACAAATAAAAAAACCCAGGGACCTTTCCTCTGTCTAGAGGCAGACCTCCTGGGAAGAGGGGTATGCTAGTTCCCACACCTTCTGTGATCAATAATCCTTTTCTTTAGAGGGGTTGATTGGCTGCAGAGCTTCCCACTGACTTGTCCTCCAACCTGCCTCCCACAGAATTGAATTTGGTACATTGTTGTAATTATGTGCTGTACCTTTACTGGAAAAAAAGCCCAGATCTTTGAAAGCTCTGCCAGTCAGAACCCCCAGCAGGAGCTTTTAGACTCTTCCGGGTGTGTTTGCAGCTCAGCTGCTCTCAAACCTCAGAGCTATGGAAATTCCCACTTGTCTTGCACTGAGGATGGAGACCCATACTGAGTGTATCTATTAAACTAACACATCTTCTGAGAAAAAGAAGGCAATAATTAG